GGGATTCTGTGCTATTCTTGGCCATGACCTTGGGCAGCAGGAAGTCAAAGAGCAATCATCTCCAGCTCCCGGTCATTTCAGATTTTCCTGTCCTGGTAGACCCATCCCTCTCCCTCCTTCAGAGCTTTTCAGGAAGCATCTGAACTTCCAGTCTCAGGTCAGCTGGATGATGCCACAAGGGCCCGCATGAAGCAGCCTCGTTGTGGCCTAGAGGATCCCTTCAACCAGAAGACCCTTAAATACCTGTTGCTGGGTGAGAACGGAGCCTGGAAAAGGGAGGGAGAGGAGGGGTGCTGTGATTCTGGACTGTGGGTGGCATCAGGACAGTCTGGACCAGCTCAGTGTTGAATACCTGGTGATTACCTGGTTATCACCTGTCTTGGGGGTTGAATGCCTAAACCCAGAGGAGCTCTCTGGGGTTGGCAGAAGGATCTGTATTTCTAATCTGTTTTCTGGTCATTAACTAGGCCGCTGGAGAAAGAAGCACTTGACTTTCCGCATCTTGAACCTGCCCTCCACCCTTCCATCCCACACAGCCCGGGCAGCCCTGCGTCAAGCCTTCCAGGACTGGAGCAATGTGGCTCCCTTGACCTTCCGAGAGGTGCAGGCTGGTGGGGCTGACATCCGCCTCTCCTTCCATGGCCGCCAAAGCTTGTACTGTTCCAATTCTTTTGATGGGCCTGGTAGGCAACAGTTTTCATTTCCCACCTCATAGACCTCTGAGATTACCTCTGTCTCCTTGAACCAGTGACTCTGGAACCTTGATGTTTGGGCTGCCTTTTATCCCACCTGCACCATACACTCTAATTACCTTCTAACGGGAGCAGGGGAGCAGTTGGTCATCTACATGGTGCCTCCCTCCCTCCCTCCTTACCTCCCTTCCTCCCTCCCTTTCTTCCTTCCTTCCTTCTCTCCCTCCCTCCTTCCCTCCTTTCTTTCTTTCCTCTCTCTTGCTTGCTTGACAGAGTCTCACTCTGTTGTCCAGACTGGAGTACAGTGGCACAGTCATGGCTCACTGCAGCCTCAACCTCCCAGGCTCAAGTGATCCTCCCACCTCAGCCTCCCAGGTAGAGACTACAGGAAAACACTACCACACCTGGCTAATTTTTGTAGAGATGAGGTTTTGCTATGTTGCCCAGGCTGGTCTAAAACTCCTGTACTCAAGCAATCATCCTGCATTGACCTCTGAAAATGTTGGGATTACAGGTGTGAGCCATCACCCCTGGCTGCCTATGCTTCTTTTTCTCCCTTAAGTTCCCCTGTTCAAGGCATACCTTAGAGGTATGGGCCAGAGAGGACTGGGTCAGAGAGCATGGAGTGGCTGGGGAGGTAAGGGACAGTGATGGGCATTCCTGAGAGAACTGGGTGATGACAGGGGAATCTGAAAGGAGAGAAAGAAGCATCTAAGAGACAGTGAACATAGCTGGGGGAATTTTAAGGGCATGCATTAATTAGAGTTTATAATAGGCAGGGTGTGCTCTGGCCTAGCGGGCTCTGACCTCCTTCCTGTTCACCTTTGCCTTTGTCCAGGGAGAGTCCTGGCCCATGCCGACATCCCAGAGCTGGGCAGTGTGCACTTCGACGAAGACGAGTTCTGGACTGAGGGGACCTACCGCGGGGTGAACCTGCGCATCATTGCAGCCCATGAAGTGGGCCATGCCCTGGGGCTGGGGCACTCCCGATATTCCCAGGCCCTCATGGCCCCAGTCTACCAGGGCTACCAGCCCCACTTCAAGCTACACCCAGATGATGTGGCAGGCATCCAGGCTCTCTATGGTCAGTCCCTTCCCCTAGTGAGGGGCAGGGTCAGTCTGACTCCCATGTCAAGGCTTGAAGAGACAGGTCTAGCCTCCATATAGGGATATAGCTTAGTGTCTTTCTTCTCTTCCAGCCCAGTTACTCAGTCTTCTTCATTTTCAGGAACAGTTTCTCTCTGACTTTTCTATGTCTAATCTACCTTCCAGGCCTCTCTCTCCTTACACCCATGCTTGGGGATGGAGAATGCACATTCTTCTTCTTCTTCTTTTTTTTTTTTTTGAGATGGTGCCTCACTCTGTCACCCAGGCTGGAGTGCAATGGCACAATCTTGGCTCACTGCAACCTCTGCCTCCCGGGTTCAAGCGATTCTCCTGCCTCAGCCTCCCAAGTAGCTGGGATTACAGGTGCACGCCACCATGCCCAGCTAATTTTTTTTGTATTTTAGTAGAGACGGGGTTTCACCATGTTGCCCAGGATGGTCTTGAATTCCTGAGCTCAGGCAGTCCACCCGCCTCAGCCTTCCAAAGTGCTAGGATTACAGGTGTGAGCCACCACACCTGGCAAGAATGCACATTCTAACAATCCTCCTTCTCCCTTTCTGGTGCTTCTCAAACCTACAATGTGTCTTCCACTGATACCAACATAATATTGCCTACCACGAATGACAATGCTCTAGGATTCCCTTCTCCCCTCTGTATGGGGCCTCTGGGCAAAACTTACAGGAGACTGGTGCGGAGGACAGGTGCTGTGAGTTCTCTCCCTAAGCAGCATGACTTTACCTTGTAGGCAAGAAGAGTCCAGTGATAAAGGATGAGGAAGAAGAAGAGACAGAGCTGCCCACTGTGTCCCCAGTGCCCACAGAACCCAGTCCCATGCCAGACCCCTGCAGTGGTGAACTGGATGCCATGATGCTGGGTGAGGTCCTTCCCCTCCAGGCTGTTGGCAGGCAGTGGGGGCAGCCTGCTGATCCTGAGGCCTGGACATATGGGAGTGACATGGGACTTCAGCATGAGCAATGGAGGTTAGATCCCAGGCATTAATGACCATGGAAGGAGACATGTGACATGGGGAGGGAGAGTTCAGAGCCAAATTAAAGGTGGCTTAGGCAGGCACTTACCAAGGTTGCCACCCTCTAGGGCCACTAGAACACATCTGGAAATGCAGCAAGATGGAGAAAACTACATTAACCAGATTGCCTGTTAGAGAGGGTGTTGCACCTGGTTGGAAGGACAACTAGGAAGCCACTTGGAGGGGAGGCTGAGGTTCCTAAGGAGGAATAGCTATCTGCAGGACTTTTGTTTTGTTGAGTAGACCAAAGCTGAAATGCTCTGAGCAACAAAGCGTTCTGAATCCTCTTTCTCTGCCTTTAATTTTCTCCTTGAATCAAAGTTGAATGACTATTTGAAGAATCAGCCTGCAGGGGGAGGGCAAATTGTTAGTCAGCCTGAGATACCCCCAAGTTTCTGTCTACTTGACCTCTGTCTTTTTGACTTGTTGACACACCATTACTCTAAGGGCCCCGTGGGACGACCTATGCTTTCAAGGGGGACTACGTGTGGACTGTATCAGATTCAGGACCAGGCCCCTTGTTCCGAGTGTCTGCCCTTTGGGAGGGGCTCCCCGGAAACCTGGATGCTGCTGTCTATTCGCCTCGAACACAATGGATTCACTTCTTTAAGGGTAAGGGGGCTAGTTTACAGTATCTTACTTGAGGAGGACCTAATCTTAAACTATAAAAAGGGAGGGAAATGAGAAGTTTCTGAATGGGTGGACCGGAGGAGACCAAAAGCTATCACCTGAGGACAGAGGTGACTTGTTCTCTCCTCACATGCTCTCAGGAGACAAGGTGTGGCGCTATGTTAATTTCAAGATGTCTCCTGGCTTCCCCAAGAAGCTGAATAGGGTAGAACCTAACCTGGATGCAGCTTTCTATTGGCCTCTCAACCAAAAGGTGTTCCTCTTTAAGGTATAAAGTTCAAAGCAAGGGCAAATCCCTTCTTAGGAGGGGTGGGCTACCTTATACTGAGAATCGAAGCTTGTGCTTGAAGGGAGATGTTCTGCAGCTGCACTGGGCTGGGGGTAGACCTCTGGGGGTCCTAAGCTTTCTCCTCTTCCTCTCCCCACCCATCCCATATCCAGGGCTCTGGGTACTGGCAGTGGGACGAGCTGGCCCGAACTGACTTCAGCAGCTACCCCAAACCAATCAAGGGTTTGTTTACGGGAGTGCCAAACCAGCCTTCAGCTGCTACGAGTTGGCAAGATGGCCGAGTCTTCTTCTTCAAAGGCAAAGTCTACTGGCGCCTCAACCAGCAGCTTCGAGTAGAGAAAGGCTATCCCAGAAATATTGCCCACAACTGGATGCACTGTCGTCCCCAGACTGTAGACACTACCCCATCAGGTGGGGATACCACTCCTTCAGGTATGGGCACAACCTTGGATACCACTCTCTCAGCCACAGATACCACATTTGAATACTGACTGCTCACCCACAGACACAATCTTGGACATTACGCCCTCAGGCTCCACCACCCACCCTTTCATTCCCTCCCAGAGGCCTAATACCTGAATGAAATACCTGTCTGCTCAGTTGAACCTCGCAGGTGCTATAGCAGGGGCATGACTGTAGAACTCAGGCCTCTAACAGTTCCAGCTCCAGCCACCACTCTCCTGTGCTCTTTCAATCCTGAGAAGTGCTCCCCTAACTCAGATTTGGCCCCCAACTCCATTTCCTGTCTGTCTTAGACAGCCCTTCCAACTGCGTCATCTCTTTTCTGGAGGTCAATGGTGGAGGCAGATGCCTGGGTCCTGTTCTTCTTACATAAAATGCAAGAAAACAGCATGGCCACTAAACTGAGCAAGGGCGTTGGAATCCTTGAGAATCACATTTATGTGCTTATGGTTATGGGCAAGCTAATTAACCTTGTTGAACCTCAGATTCCCCATTTGCAACATTAGGTTAAGACCAGTCCTGCAGGATTGTTGCACTAAATGAAATACTGTATGTGAAGTACCTGGCACAGTGTCTGGTACATTTGTGTTTAATAAAGGCTAACTATGCTCATAAGAGAGGACTGAACAGCTCTTCCTCTAGCTGTCTGGTTGTATAACTCTTACAGTAGTCTGTATGATACAGGTACCTCTATTAGATCTTTAGGGGACAGAGGATTTGTCAAGATGGTTAGCTCTTTGTTTTGGGGTGCAGAGAAAGAAAAGAGCACCAACAGCAGAGGCTGGACTCCTGGTTCAGTATGTAATGCCATTTTATTCACATGCTCCCATGTTCTCCCTCCCTCCCATTGTAGCCTTGCTGCCCAGGGGAGGGATATGTCTTCCTTTATGCATCTGGGAAACCAGGAACAGACCTGGGGCAGGAGAGTCAGAGGGGGAAGAGTTAGAGTGGGTTAGTGGCTGGAACAAAGTTCTGGTTAAGGAGGAAATTAGTGCTACCCACAGTAAGAAGCAGAGAAAGCACTTGTCTCCTATGCAGCCCTGAAGACCAGGCTCCTTTGGGCAAAAGGCAAGACTCTGGCAGGTGGGCCAATGCTCTCTCCTTGGAGCAAGAAGCCAGCTTTTGGGGAAGGCAGGTCCTGAGGCAGGCACTGCCCTGTGGTCTTCCCCAGGTTGAGGAGAAAAGTGGAAGCACCATGGAAGATAGTGCTCCTAGCTGAGGTAGGAGGTGGGGGTTTAAGCCTATGGGGCCCAGGGGGAAGGTCAAAGAAACCCAACTACCCCCTAATGAAGTGCCTGGAGGTGGGGGTATCTTGGAGCTCCTCAGAGCCCTTCTTCCCATCAAAAAGCTATCAAATGCCTTAGAAGCTCCCTGATCCTACAAAACAAAAACCGCTTGTTTCTACCACTGTGAGGCATGCTGAGGTGGATATTTAAAAGGCTATTTCAAGACCAGGTACGGTGGCTATAATCCTAGCACTTTGGGAGGCTGAAGCAGGAGGATCACTTGAGCCCAGGAGTTCAAGACCAGCTTGGGCAACATAGGGAGACCCTGTCTCTGCAAAAAAAATAAAAACAAATGAATAAAAATTAGCTGTGTGTGGCGCCTGTGGTCCCAGCCACTCGGGAGGCTGAAATGAGAGGCTTGCTTGGGCCAGGGAAGTCAAGGTTGTCATGAGCTATGATCACGCCACGGCACTGGACAGAACAAGACCTTGTCTCAAAAAAAAAGACTATATGGATAAGGCTTGGAGGGAATTCGGTAGTCAGTTTCTTCGGGGACCAGGGTACCTCTATTATTGGTCGGAGGTAAATATTCATACTTCCCTTCTTCCCCCTTCCCCATAAGACTCTTCTCTGTTCTTGGAACATATTCCTACAAGGCTGGTCTGGGTTGAGGCACAGATCCTATCCCCAAGTCCAAGAGGTGGGGAAGTTTATGTGCAGGTCCTGTGGCTCAAACCCTGTCCACCTAGTGCTCCCAGGCCCTCACAGGGGTGAGGGCAAAAGTGGAAGTCCAGGCTCAGGTCTGGTTAGAACCAGAGATTCAGGTAAGGGGTACAGTGGAACCACAGTCAGAATCCAGGTCCAGGACGGCGTAGGGGGCTGTGGCCTGGGGTCCTGGTCCCAGTTGGCACTCTTGAAGACTCTGGAAATAACGCTGGGGGGACACAGGGCAAAGAGGAAGGAGGGGCCTGGGTCAGAGCGCCCCTCCCACCCTGACCATCCCCATATGCCCTCTGCTCCATCTGCCCAGGGTGTCCCCAAGCCCCCCACTCACTGGAGTGAGACTGTCAGCAGGGCTCCAGGTATTGGCAGGGAGCTGGTGCCGATAGCTGCCCTCACAAAGCCCCACCCCAGAGGGGATCCAGTGCCATTTGGCCTTTTGCTAAAGGGTCGGAAGGAGTTGGAGATGCCTTTGCTGGTGGCTTAAGACCACTGCTGGCCGGGTGCGGTGGCTCACGCTTGTAATCCCAGCACTTTGGGAGGCTGAGGTGGGTAGATCACTTGAGGTCGGGAGTTCAGGGCCAGCCTGGCCAACATGGTGAAACCCTGTCTCTACTAAAGATACAAAAACTAGCCGGGCATGGTGGTGCACATCTGTAATCCCAGCTACTCGGGAAGCTAAGGCATGAGAATCACTTGAATCCAGGAGGCGGAGGTTGCAGTGAGCCAAGATCATGCCACTGCACTCCAGCCTGGGTGACAGAGTGAGACTGTCTCAAAAAAAAAGACCACTGCTTAGGAGGGGGCAATACAGACTCAAGGAGGCCTCTTTAGACCTGAATCCTACCCTAATACACTCGAAAGAAACCCATTTGACCTTCCTGTTATGTTTCTCTCAAGCCTCATCTTCCCCCCATTTATTCTTTTTTTGTTTTTGAAATGGACTCTTGCTCTGTCACCTAGGCTGGAGTGTACTGGTGTGATCTCGGCTCACTGCAAGCTCCACCTCCCGGGTTCAAGCCATTTTCCTGCCTCAGCCTCCAGAGTAGCTGGGACTACAGGCGCCCGCCACCACGCCTGGCTAGTTTATTTTTTGTATTTTTAGTAGACACAGGGTTTCACCATGTTAGTCACGATGGTCTCGATCTCCTGACCTCGTGATCCGCCCGCCTTGGCCCCCAAAGTTCTGGGATTACAGGCATGAGCCACCACGCCCGGCCCCCCATTTATTCTAAAAGAAACTCTTTGGAATTCTATTCTTTCCTCCTAGACTTCCCTGAGATCCTCCTTTCCTTCTGCAACTCTCTCCTGCTTCCCCTGACTCCTTCAACTTTTTTTTCAGTGCCCTGCCCCATTCACCTTGGACATCCTCCCCCACTCTCCTTCCTCAAATGTATTTCTCCCCTTCCCCTCCTCAAGTCTAGGAACTGGGGACATAAGTAGGCACAGTTTGGCTGCTTCTGTACCACAGCACTAACTCACCATTGGTGTGGCCTCCATGTTCCTCAGGCATGACCTTGCTTCTGTACCACAGCACTAACTCACCACTGGTATGGCCTCCATGTTCCCCAGGCATGAGCTTCCACTGGGCCAGGGCCCCAAGGGCCCCCAAGGCTGGCCAAATCCCCAGTAAGACCCAGCTATATCAGCAGAGAGAAGACAAGGGTGGAAGTGTCTACAGGCGTTGGCCCAGCCGACTGCCCAGTGCCAGCCCCTCCAGGAATTAGTCAGCATAGGCCACAAACACTGCAGAACCCAGCAGGGCTGTGCCCAGAACTGTGAATGGACGTGACCACCCAAGTGTGAGCAGGGTTCCCAGCAGCGCCGGCCCCCACAGCCCCCCAGCTGGCACCCATGCTGAAGGTGGTTGGTAGATAGGCTCAGTGGAGAGCAGGGCTCCAGCACCCAAGGTCAGGCATAGCAGGAGACCAGTTAATAAGAGCCCAACACAGTGAACCAGCATGGTGACCACGCCGTAGAAGAGTGGTCTATGTAGAGAGTGCTGTGGTGATGACCACAGCAATGCCCACTCTCATTTCCAGGCTCAGCTGTGTCTCCAGCACCCGCACCTTGTGGCACAGTAGGAAGCTCCTGACAGCAGACCGGAGAGAAACATCACTGTCTTGAAGCAGCGGTAGCCTGGGAAGTGAGGCAGGAGGCATTGAGAGGCAGGAAGGGGGCTCTATGGGGATGACTCTGATGAATTCCAGGGGAGAGGAATGGCTCACTAGAGGAGCAGAAGACAGGGGCAGCATGTCAGGAGACCTCAAGCCCAGGGGCAGAAAGGGGTAGCTTAGGGTCGGGGGGTCACTGTTTCCGGAACTGTGAGGGAATGGGAGGGAAAATCAAGAGGTAAGATGGATACATCCAGGGGAGTAAGGATAGAAAGAAGGTCTGTCCTTTCAGGGATAGCAGATAGGAAAAAATCAGCACAAGCTGATTCAGGTTTTTGGGGAAGAGTGAAGAAGCCTGAAACATAGAGAATAATTTAGGAATGGGGTTTTCAGGTAGGAGGTAAGAGAAGGGCAAATGATAGATGCCAGAAGTGAGAGCTAGGAGGCATGGGCATGGAGGATGGACAAGAAGCTGGCAAGAGCAACAACATAGGCCTAGGAATACAGCCAGAGCAACATGGGTCACACTGGAGGTAGGAACCCCTGGCAGGGAGGTGAGATGGCTCAGGAGCGAGGAGGAAAGTTGGCATCATCCTTGAGGGTGACAGTCTCGGGTAATGGCCCCCTAGGTCCTTGGCCCTGCCCTCACCGAAGCAGCAGTAGATGATTCCAAAGCAGCAGCAAAGGGCACACACCGGGGCAGGTGCCACTTCAGGATTGTCCTGGGGTTCCAAAACACATCTTGGGTCTGGAGGCTCTGGGAGTTGTTGATTAAAGGGCCTGGGGTCAGATGTCACAGCCAGGGGTGGCAAGACTTCCTCCAGGGCCAAAGAGAAAGTGGTCACAGAGGGGGAGATGTCAGCTCCTCTCATCCATCCATGAATGTCTTTAGAGGATAGGGAAACCTGCAGGGGGGCACGGGACAGAAACTTTGGTGCCCATAAATCTTGAGGATTCTGTACCTCTATTTACTTTAAATAATGGTACCCATTTCAGAAGCCAGTATGACCCTGTTGAGGTAACTGAAGAAATCTATAGGATTGGATTGAGAGGAGTAGGATCTGTCTTTACCACTCTCTGAAACAAGGACACTTAAGTAAAATGTAAAAGGAAATCTTATAAAATAATGAAAATCTTACAAAGTAATGAGCCTTTGCCTGCCCCCACCACCCTGCAGCTCTTCAGGGTGAGGATGGAAGGAACAGGAAGCCCTGGATGTGTGGAGGGAGGGGTGCAGGGACATTATTGCCCTATCTGCGATTGGGACTTAATACTATCCCACGAGATTGGGAAGGGTGAGGTTAATAGAGAGGGGAGAGGGAGGGAGACCAGGACAGTATGAGTCATGGTAGGGTCTCTGGACAGCTCCTCCAGCCACAGGGCAGAAAGAGGGAAAAAACCAGACACCAAGAGTTTGGAAGGAGGAATTAAGTATGAGACACACCCACAGTTTGTCAGGGTTTTAAAGCCTCAGCTTCATGCTGAGATGGAGTTGTTGGAGGAAGGGGCATCCAGCCACAGTCCTAATCCCACAGCCCCTCATGGAATAAGCAAGGATTTTGCCCACAGACATCTCACATCCTGGTAGCCACTCGCACCTCCCCTTAGGATACTGGTGGGAATTTTCCTACCTTACCCTTCCCCCAGCGGTATCAGGGCTGCCAATGGGATTTGAATTCAGATCCTGAAAGGAGAACACCAAGGAGGAGCTGGCATTTCGGGCACTGTGGGAATGAAGTGGCATAAATGCAGGCGCTTTACTTCCTTCAGCTGTCCTTTGGATATCAAGGTCCTTACAGGCTGGAGGGTTGGCTCTCGGAGCTCCTCTCCTCAATCTGCTTGGAAGTCTGGGGACCCTGAACAAGATGGGGGTTGGGGAGGGGATGTTAACTACTCACTACCCTGCCAGGGTTGAGGAGGAGGGGGTGGAAGTGCTTCCCTAGACCCCCAGCTGCATCCCCGCTCGGAGGTCCTAGACGCCGAAGGGTCGGCTGTCGGTCGAGGGCACCCCCAGGGCCACTCTGTTTGTTGCTGCCTAAACTCTTTCAAGTCGCAGCCCAGGCTCTGTGAGCTAAATGCAACTAGCTGGGGGGGGGGGTAGAGAAAGGGGACAGGGCGTGTGTGTTTGTCTGTCTGTGTGTGTGTGTGTGTGTGTGTGTGCGCGCGCGCGCGCGCGAGCGCGGTGGGTGGAGGGGGGTGACATCACAAGGCAGGCCCCTCCAACTCTTTCCCCTGTGTGTGTGGGGACCCAGGTTGCCTACTGCTCTAGTCCAGGACCAGAGACCCCCAACTATATAGCAGGTAAGAGTCTTGAGAGTCACCCCAAGAGTTTTGGAGAAGGGTCTCCGAATACTTAGGAGATGACAACCGGAAGCTCTCAAAGCCCCAATAGGGGTCCCAGCGCCCCCCTAGCTCCAGCTTGGTTTCTTCCACTTCCCAGAGAATTGGAGTATTGTCTTCTGGAGAGCCGGGTGGTCGGGATCGTGGACCCAGGGAAGGGGCTTTTGCTAGGCTGGGAGAGCCAGCGGGGGGTTCATGGGTGGAAAAACTTTCGGATCAAGACGGGGCCTGGAAGGGGCACTGACAGGAGAGGTATAAGGCTAGAGCCGTGTGCAGAGGAGGGCACCGACGGAACGGGAGTCGGGGGCGCATGTGGACGTCCACCAAATAGCTTGGTATGCAGATAAGATGTCAAGCAGCATGTAGATGAGTTCAGTATTCTTTGGCTCTCGGGTAAGGTTCTGAGCCGAGCTGAGTTACGCTCCCAGTTCCTAGGCACCGCTCGGTGATCGGGCCAGGGGAGCTGCGTCCCAAGGGGAGGATCCAGGTATAAGGGGCAGCTCGCCAGCTGGGTCAAGCGAGGGGGAGGCCGTGGGTTGCTGTGAAAGGAGGGGCAGCGCTGCAGGGCGAGGGTGGGGGCCAGTCCGGGGCACCCTCTCCTCTGCTCCACCTCCGCACCGCAGGATACAAAGGGGCCTCTGTCCTCGCAGCTGCCAGCACGGAAGGGATCAGGGCAGTGACTCTTCTGAGCTCCCCAGTTTGGTCTGCAAGGGAAACAGACTACGTGAGGCTCGGTGGCTGCCCTCCATCTCCCAGGAATACACCCAGAGCAACCCTGAGAGTCTGCCCTTAGTCTGCAGGCATTGGTGCAGAGCCCACTTGCCTTGCTTCCAGCGGTGCAACCTGCGGGAATCCTATTCCCACACGCGGAGGCAGGGGTCTTTAAATGGCGGAGCCAGTACTTCCTTAGGACCGCCTCCTTGGAGTCGACGCAGCACTAGCTGGACTGGCTCGCCTCTCAGCCAACCACTATTTCTTTTCCTTCCCGTCTCTTCCCTGGTGACCCCGGAAGTGGAAGTAGGCCCAGGTCGGCGGCGGCGGCGGGGACGGAAGGCGGAAGCAGAGCGTGAGCGGGAGGCGGAGCCGGGAGAGCGGCTCTCGTAGCTCACCCTGGCCCCAGGCCGGGCGGCTCGAGGGGGAGGAGTTACCGCCGTTCTTCGGTACGTCCGTTTTTTTTTGTTTTTATTTTTTTTGTTTGTTTGCTTGCTTGTTTTTGAGATGGAGTCTCGCTCTGTCGCCCAGGCTGGAGTACAGTGGAACGATGTCGGCTCACTGCAACCTCCACCTTCCGGGTTCAAGCGATTCTTCTGTCTCAGCCTCCCGGGTAGCTAGGACTACAGGTGCGCGCCACCACGCTTGGCTAATTTTTGTATTTTTAATAGAGACGGAGTTTCACCATATTGGTCAGGCTGGTCTCCAACTCCTGACCTCGTGATCCGCCCGCCTCGGCTTCCCAAAGTGCTGGGAGTATAGGCGTGAGCCACCGTGCCCGGCCACCTTCGTCCCTTCTACACAGCCGGTGGGTTCCCTGGTAGTCTTTCTTAGGGGCAGCCCTAAGCTCCGCCCCCAGATTTTCCTCCAGGGCCGCACGGCCCCCACCCTTTACTGGCAGTCTATGGCCCCCTATCCGGCCGCCTTTCCCATTTTCCTAAGAGTGACCCACCCTCCCCCGACCACACCCTTTACTGTACCTCCCTTTTTCCCTGATTGAAGGTTATAGTTTTCTGGGGAAAGAAGAAAAACTTAGGTGATTTGGAGGAGAGGGGAGGGAGCAAGCAGGGTTGTGGTGAGTCTAGTTTTGGCTTATTGCTAGGAATAGCGAATGCCCCCAAAGAACTTGGGAAAACAAGGGAGGTGGATGAATTAAATGTGTCCACTACTTAAGATTGTTTAATTCCTCTCTTGGTCTCATCCTTGACCGTCTCCACCTTGACATCTGTTACAGGCATCAGAACACACCATGATGGCTGTGACCTAAGACCCTCAGGAAGCCCTGGGGTCATGGCCCAGAAGCACCCCGGAGAAAGAGGGTTGTGTGGAGCCCACCATAGTGGTGGTGCCTCCCTCAGGACTTTAGGACCCTCCGTGGACCCTGAAATACCTTCATTCTCAGGACTCAGGGACTCAGCAGGGACTGCTCCTAATGGTACCCGCTGCTTCACAGAGCACTCTGGTCCTAAGTACACACAGCACCCAAACCCAGCCCATTGGTTGGACCCAAGCCATGGCCCCCCAAGGGGTCCAGGACCACCTAGAGATGCAGAGGACCCTGACCAGAGTGAGACATCGTCAGAAGAAGAGTCAGGAGTGGACCAGGAACTCTCAAAAGAAGATGAGGCGGGGTACCAGGAGGATGGGAACCCTTCTTTTCTTTCCATTCCATCTGCTTGCAACTGCCAGGGAACACCTGGAATTCCAGAAGGGCCTTACTCTGAGGGAGAAAATGGCTCTTCTAGCAACTTTTGCCACCACTGTACCTCTCCAGCCTTGGGGGAAGATGAAGAGTTGGAAGAGGAATATGATGATGAAGAATCTCTTAAGTTCCCCAGTGATTTTTCACGTGTGTCCAGCGGAAAGAAACCCGCATCCCGGAGACAGCGGCACCGCTTTCCAACCAAGGAGGATACTCGGGAGGGTGGACGAAGGGATCCCAGGTCCCCTGGTCGACATCGGCTGGGCCGGAAACGAAGTCAGGCAGATAAGCGCAGAGGCCTGGGATTGTGGGGAGCTGAGGAACTGTGTCAACTTGGACAGGCAGGCTTTTGGTGGCTGATTGAACTGCTGGTATTGGTGGGAGAGTACGTAGAAACTTGTGGCCATCTCATCTATGCATGCAGGCAGCTGAAAAGCAGTGATTTGGACCTTTTTCGAGTTTGGATGGGAGTCTGGACTGGGCGGCTGGGGGGCTGGGCCCAGGTCATGTTTCAGTTTCTAAGCCAGGGATTTTACTGTGGAGTAGGATTGTTTACCCGTTTTCTTAAGCTGCTGGGTGCTTTGCTGCTCCTGGCTCTGGCCGTCTTTTTGGGCTTTCTACAGTTGGGATGGCGGTTTCTGGTGGGACTAGGTGACCGGTTAGGCTGGAGGGATAAGGCCACCTGGCTCTTCTCTTGGCTGGATTCCCCAGCCTTGCAGCGTTGCTTGACTCTGCTGAGAGATAGCAGGCCATGGCAGCGGCTGGTAAGAATAGTTCAGTGGGGCTGGCTGGAGTTGCCTTGGGTCAAGCAGAATACTAATAGGCAGGGGAATGCACCTGTAGCTAGTGGGCGCTACTGCCAGCCTGAAGAGGAAGTGGCTCGACTCTTGACCATGACTGGGGTTCCTGAGGATGAGCTAAACCCTTTCCACGTACTGGGGGTTGAGGCCACAGCATCAGATGTTGAACTGAAGAAGGCCTATAGACAGCTGGCAGTGATGGTGAGTACCCTTCTGTTTCCTGTTCCTCTCTTTTGTTCCCATATTTTCTTTTCTTTTCTTTTTTTTTGAGATGTAGTCTTGCCTCGTCACTCGGGCTGGAGTGCAGTGGCACAATCTCAGCTCACTGCAACCTCCGCCTCCTGGGTTCAAGCGATTCTCCTGCCTTAGCCTCATGAGTAGCTGGGATTACAGGTGCGCACCACCATGCCTGGCTAATTTTTTTTGTATTTTTAGTAAAGACTGGGTTTCACCATGCTGGTCTCGAACTCCTGATCTCATGATCCATCCGCCTCAGCCTCCCAAAGTGCTGGGATTACAAGTGTGAGCCACGGCTCCTGGCCTGTTCCTATATTTTCTATTCCAGTTTTAGGGAGAGTGGAATAAAGGGAAGGCAGAGTAGAAAGTTAACGGGTAGGTGAAGATTAACTTTTTTTTTTTTTGAGAAGGAGTCTCGCTCTATCTCTTAGGCTGGAGTGCAGTGGCACGATCTTGGCTCACTGCAAACTCCGCCTCCCGGGTTGACGCCATTCTCCTGCCTCAGCCTCCCGAGTAGCTGGGACTACAGGCGCCCACCACCATGCCTGGCTATTTTTTGTATTTTTAGTAGAGACGGGGTTTCGCCATGTTAGCCAAGATGGTCTCGATCTCCTGACCTTGTGATCCGCCTGCCTCAACCTCCCAAGGTGCTGGGATTACAGGTGTGAGCCACTGTACCCGGCCGGTTAACATATTCTTAGGAAGGAGTCATAAAGACTTTTTGGGCCAGGTGTAGTGGCTCACACCTGTGATCTCAGCACTTTGGGAGGCCAGGCTTGGTGGTGCATGCCTGTAGTCCCAGCTACTAAGGAGGCTGAGGTGGGAGGATCAGTTGAGCCCAAGAGGTCGAGGCTGCAGTGAGCCAGGATCATGTACCTACAGTCTGGGCAACAAAGCCAGACCATGTGAAAAAAAAAAAAAAGATATTTTCCCCTCTACGATGGGGTCTGATCTTCCCTCCATTTTGTTTCTTGTCATGAGATATATTTTTTGAACCTGGTATATTAGGCAATGTAGCACTCATTCACCTGGAGTATCTAGGTGAAGTCCCTCTAACTAGAATGGGAAAAAGACCTGTTCAGAGAACACCTCAGTTGCTCTTCCCTGAACAAATGAGGTTTTTTTTTTTTTTTTTTTTAAACGTGGGACAACCCAACTATTTCTCCCAGAGAAGCAAATATGGACCTAGTGTGGGAGGGTCAGGGAGTGCATGTAAGTATTTTAGCACCAGGTAGGAGAAAACAGGCTGTTTCAGGGTCAGCAACTCAGAATAGGAGAGGGAAAGAAAATGGAAGTGTATGCATATGTACGTCATACATGAAAATATGGTTGCTTTTATTGATAAGAGGGCGTGCAGGGCCGGGCGCGGTGGCTCACGCCTGTAATCCCAGCACTTTGGGAGGCTGAGGTGGGTGAATCACGAGGTTAGGAGATCGAGACCATCCTGGCTAACATGGTGAAACCCCATCTCTATTAAAAATACAAAAAAATTAGCTGGGCGTGGTGGCAGGCGCCTGTAGTCCCAGCTACTCGGGAGGCTGAGGCAGGAAAATGGCAGTAACCCGGAGGGGGAGCTTGCAGTGAGCTGAGATCGTGCCACTGTACTTCAGCCTGGGCGACAGAGCAAGACCTTGTCTCAAAAAAAAGAAAAGAAAAAAAAAGAGGGTGTGCAGATGGGAGTTGTGTTGCAACTTATGACTGAGGGAAATGGTTTAATACAAGCATGCTATCAAATTGTATTAGAAGTAGATATTAGATTGATATTAGATACCGGATTGTTACTGCTATTTCTGTACAAATAAAACTATATTATGAATGTAAGTAAGGTGTGTAAATTGGAGGCCTACTTACACTGGAGTGTATGGAGCTGGACTGGTAAAACATCACAGTGTGCAAATTACCTCAATGGCTGCATGACACCAAAAAGGAATGGGCAACTAAAGTTTTCATTAATGATTAAAGGTACAGTAAACCACCACACCTATAACTTACCAAAGGACTGAATTAATTTGGTGGGAAATGTATGCCCCTTAGTAGGTAGCTTGGTATATTTTTTTTTTTTTTTTTTTTTTTTTTTTTTTGAGACAGGGTCTCACTCCAGTTCCCCAGGCTGGAGTACAGTGGCAGGATCTCAGCTCACTGCAGCCTTGACCCCCACCAAGCTCAGGTGATTCTTCCACCTCAGCTTCCCGAGTAGCTGGAACTACAGTTGTGCACCACCACACCCGGCTATTTTTATTTTTAGTAGAGATGGGGGTCTCGCTATGTTGCCTAGCCTGATCTCGAACTCCTGGACTCAAGCAATCCACCTGCCTCGGCCTCCCAGAATGTTGGGATTACAGGCTTGAGCCACTGCGCTTGGCCTCTGCTTTATTTTTAGAGTGGGTAACAATTGTTTACTCAATTTTTAGAGTGGGTAACAATTGTTTACTCTCATTGTTACTAATTCTACTAGTAGTAGAGCTCTTTTCTCACCTTCTTTTAGTAGACATCCTGTTTTGGAGAGTATTATTCTTAACAAAAATTCTCATTTTTCAATTTCTCTTGGAGTAGAGATGTAGTTAAGTTCCCCTACCCTCAAAACATCTATCCCTATACCCCAAAGATCTCTCTTGTCCTGGACCAGAGTGTCTCTGGGCTTTTACTGAACCTCTCACTGCCACTAAGCCCTAGTGTGAACATGACTAAAAGGCTGTTCAATTAGCTTGGGAATGTGGGAAATTTAACAGCATTTTAGTTATTTGGCATCAGGCAGGAGACTAGCTTTATCTCTTTGGGGAATGGGGATGCATACAATTAGGAAGCTGTAGGAAGAGAGGATATTATTTGTCTTGGAGAGAAGGCTGAAAGTATATAAAAAGCCTCTGAGACCATGATACACTATTTCATTTCTGAGACTGAAAGGTAGATCACTGTAGGAAGTTTTGGATATGAGAATTTTCTAGTTAAAAAAGAATGAGTTTCAAGATGTAACATCTTTGGAACTCTTATTTTATGACTGATATATGTGTGTGCCGGAGACCAACTGTCCCAATTCATCTGGGATTGAGGAGTTTCTAGAGGCATGGGACTTTTCAGTGCTAAAACTGGGAAAGTCTCAGGCAAACTGGGATGATGAATCCACTGTAGTGCCTGATTCTTTGCTACATACTTCATATATATTCTTATCTAATCCCCCCAGCAATCCATGATATATATATTCAGGCTGGGTGCGGTGGCACACGCCTGTAATCCCAGCACTTTGGGAGGCTGAGGTACGCAGATCACTTGAGGTTAGGAGTTCAAGACCAGACTGTCCAACTAGATGAAACCCCGTCTCCACTAAAAATACAAAAAAATTAGCCGAGTGTGGTGGCACATGCCTGTAATCCCACCTACTAGAGAGGCTGAGGCAGGATAATTGCTAGAACCTGGGAGGCGGAGGTTACAGTGAGCTGAGATCGTGCCACTGCACTCTAGCCTGGGCGACAGAGTGAGACTTTGTCTCAAAAAAAAGATAGATATTCAAGGTAATATAGCTAATTAACAGAGCCGTGAATTGAACCAGATCTGCAGAGCCAGAGCAATTAATCATTAAGCTACGCTGACTCTTCAAAAGGGTGATGAAAGAGAGCCCTTTGATATGAGAATAAACTCAAGGTGGGGAGAGGGTTGGAATGGATTTGTAATGAAATCTGTCTTGGTAGGTTCATCCTGACAAAAATCATCATCCCCGGGCTGAGGAGGCCTTCAAGGTTTTGCGAGCAGCTTGGGACATTGTCAGCAATGCTGAAAAGCGAAAGGAATATGAGATGTAAGTTGGAGATGGGAAATCATCAGATAATGGTAAATGAAAAATCCTCAATAGGAGAGGCATCTGGACTTGGGGGTGGAGGCTCGTTGAGGTGGAGAGAACTAAAGTCACTTGTCTTTCTCGCTAGACGGGGGCCTCAAGAGGCCAATTGATGTGTCTCCCTTTGTCCCTCCCTCAATACCTTCTGACTTACAAAGTGTTTCTTCTCTTAGGAAACGAATGGCAGAGAATGAGCTGAGCCGGTCAGTAAATGAGTTTCTGTCCAAGCTGCAAGATGACCTCAAGGAGGCAATGAATACTATGATGTGTAGCCGATGCCAAGGAAAGCATAGGTATGAAATAGAAGGAGAGGGATGGGACAATCACAGCTCAGGGATTAGGTAACCAAAGATCTTCCTCGTGAGTATTGGTAATTATGAGTTACATCTGTATCTCATAATTAGTAAAAAGACCCTTAAGTTTCTACCTTTGTCATATTGTCAAGAGATTGACTATTTTAATTAGCACTAAGAAAAATTAGCTTTTAAGATAGAACATTGAAGGCATATGAAATATCTAAGTGGGGGTAATTTTAGATGTTTCAGCCCTATTTGTGAATAATGGTAAGACTACTAGTAATGCCCTAAGTAGGCTTGACAAATTATTAAAGAACTATCCTTTTGTTGGTTGCAGGAGGTTTGAAATGGACCGGGAACCTAAGAGTGCCAGATACTGTGCTGAGTGTAATAGACTGCATCCTGCTGAGGAAGGGGACTTTTGGGCAGAGTCAAGCATGTTGGGCCTCAAGATCACCTACTTTGCACTGATGGATGGAAAGGTGTATGACATCACAGGTACTCTCTGTCCTCTAGAAATACAGGCTCATACTTCCTGATCTTTTATGTGCTCTAAACTGCAATGTTTTGGCTAATTATTTCTCATGTTTACAGAGTGGGCTGGATGCCAGCGTGTAGGTATCTCCCCAGATACCCACAGAGTCCCCTATCACATCTCATTTGGTTCTCGGATTCCAGGCACCAGAGGGCGGCAGAGGTAGGTGGTATTTCTGTCAATAATCTACCCACTATTTCAGTTTTGAATATGGTTTCAGATGACCTGCTTTTTAGGACACTCAGGGGCCTTATTTTCTAGGAAGTTTGGGAACTGGTAAGTATATCTAACTTTAGGTAACCATATAACTCTAACATCTCTTGCCTTATTTCTGTTTTATCTCAGAGCCACCCCAGATGCCCCTCCTGCTGATCTTCAGGATTTCTTAAGTCGGATCTTTCAAGTACCCCCAGGGCAGATGCCCAATGGGAACTTCTTTGCAGCTCCTCAGCCTGCCCCTGGTGCCACTGCAGCTTCTAAGCCCAACAGCACAGTACCCAAGGGAGAAGCCAAACCGAAGCGGCGGAAGAAAGTGAGGAGGCCCTTCCAACGTTGACGCCCCTTCTTTCCTCAAAACAATGTCAGGGAGTCAAAAGGGCTGTGTACAGCACAGGATGGAGTTTGATTTATCCCTCCTCCCCCAACACCTAGGAACTGAATCTTTTGTTTTTTTTTTTTGAGAGACGGAGTCTCGCTCTATTGCCCAGCTGGAGTGCAGTGGTGTAATCTCGGCTTACTGCAACCTCTGTCTCCTGGGTTCAAGCAATTCTCCCATCTCAGCCTCCTGAGTAGCTGGGATTACAGGCACACACCACCACACCTGGCCCAACTAATTCTTTTTTGTATTTTTAGTAGAGACGGGGTTTCACCATGTTGCCCAGGCTGGTCTCAAACTCCTGAGCTCAGGTGATCCACCCGTCTTGGCCTTCCAAAGTGCTGGATTACAGGCATGAGCCACCGCGCCCGGCCTGAATCTTGTCTTTTGACAATACCAAAGAAATAGGGGGTAGCTAGAGTAAAGAACCTAGGGCCTGGACCTGGGCTGGACAGTATATCCCTTTAGGTGTGGGAACTGGGTATTTCCCTGGGGTCTGTATGCCTTTGTCTTGTCATTTGCTTTTAGGGCAGATGACACTTTTTCCCACCCTTTTAAAGCCACAAGTCTGTCTTCTTTCTTGAACCATTTCAGGAGGAGCCCTCTCCTTTACCCCGATACAATATTTAAAAGACAGAACAAGAAAGCATGTAGCCCTAATGATAGGAGATTACTGCATAGAGTTCAGAGAGTGGAAACTGAATTTTCCCTCGACTTTCACTTTGTGGGTAAATCACCCAATTTTAGGCTCTTTTCTGCAAGGGTGGCCAAAATTAATCATTTTTAAAAAGTAGATTCATGCCCACTGCCCTTGGGTGAGGGGGAAGGATGCAGGGGTTCCCAGAAGCCCCCATGTGATTCAAGGGTTTGTATTTTTTTTTTTTAAGTTTGTTCATATTTGTATGTACATACCTATTTAAAGCCAGGGGATTATCTTTCTATAAATGTATAACTGGTAACCTGTATCTTCCCTCTTTTTTGCCCATATAACTGGAGCCCTTTTTCTCATTTGAGAATCCCTTCCCAAGAAGTGTTAAGCTTAGAGTGAAGGGCACCTCCTACTGGACCAAAGGAGAGGGGACTAGAGAATTGTTTTAAGTTTTATACATTAGGTCAGTATTCCATCTTCCTACCCCCAGCCTTATGAGGACAGCTCTCTGCCCTTCCTGCTGATTAAACTGCAGCTATAGCTGGAAAAAATTATTATAAGAAAAATACACAGCAAAAAAGGTGGTAGGTGTAGAAGATAGGGAAAGATGTAATCACTGAACAAGCTGCCCAAATGGCTTCCTGCTATGGAGGAGAGTGATTTGGCCCTTACCTCACCTGCCTTCCTGATTCAAAGAAACTTGCCGCTGGCAGGACTGGGCCCAGGAGCCCCATTTGCCAATCTCTTCTCTTCTTGGGAGTCTGGAAAAGGTTGTATAGTTCTCACACTTTCAAGGTGTAGAAGACAGTATGGAGAATAAGAGAAGGATGTTTTATAGTCCTCTGTTTCACTGCCTTCCCTATGCCCATGGAGCTGTCCCAAAACCCATCCCTCAGTATTTGTTGATGCCAAAGACACGAACCCCATGGAACTGGGGCAACTTCGGCAGCAGTACACTGAGCAATGAGGCTGTGTTGATGAGGAAGTGAGCAGCATCATACTTGGTATAGAAGCTGGCCAGGAGATAGCTGGGGAGAGAAAAAAATAGGGTGAGTGAGGTTGGCCTTCCCTATCCATATTCTTTTTTTTTTTTTAAAGAGACAGTTCTCACTATGTTTCCCAGGTTGCAGTGCAGTGGCTATTCACAGGTGTGATACGTGTGGTACAACCTCAAATTCCTGGGCTCAAACAATCCTTCTGCCATAGCCTCCCAGGCAGCTGGGACTCCAGGTATGCACCACAGTGCCCTGCTCTTTCTCTTCTATTTTAAATGACCAGTTTTACTGTATATTTACTGTTCTAGATTATCTAAAACTATTCCAGCTATATCAACAGCATTTACTTTGGGGTTCAGGAGATAGCACCTTTAACTGGAGACTATAAGTCAGTATCTGTTAATTGCTAATGACATGGCAAATGACGGCTGAAGCTATTTGTCTGTATGACTGTTAAAGAGTCCTCTTTGCTTCCACTCCCTACAGTGTTTTTGAAGATTACTATCAGTTCTGCCTTGATTTACTTATTTTGGCAGTGTAAAATCATTTGGTTTTATTTGGCACTTATCTTTTCTAAGTCCTTTCATTTCCTTACTACCAAGGAGGCAGCAAGGAATGCTTGATTACAGCATTGACTTCTACATTTTACTGCTCTCTGTAGACTTAGAACTAGTATACCTTAATATCTTCAAAGGCTTTTAGATGGGTAGTCTGTTTTTTAACAGCTTCCCTATGGGCCTTTCTCCCTGGCTCTTGGAGCTCTTTCTAACCCAGCATATCCTCATTTCCCCCATAGACTCACAGCACAATAGGAGAGATGCTGAGGAACTTGCGGGAAGAGGTAAACTGGAGCCCATAGTCCATTTGCTCCCAGTGTGTCAGTAGCCGAGCCTTTCCTTGGTCAGGAGTCTCAAAGGGTGTCCCTTTCACCGTATGAAGGAAGACATACATAGCCTGGGAACAGGGAAGGTGGCAGTGTGAGGGGCAGAGAGTAGTTCTTCAGTCAAAGAATTATGTTAAGATCCCAAAAGGAACACATAAATCCCCAAACAATTGGTGATTTTATTTTGCTTTTGGTCGGGAAACGCTGGGGTGGGTACAAGGCCGCGGTTTAGTGCTCACCAGGTTATGGATGACGTTGGTCAGGGTCCAGACAACAGGAATGCTGAAGAAGGGGATGCTGAGTAGAACCACATGCAGCAGTCCTACCAAGATGATGTAGGCCAGCCAGATGCCTCGGCTATTCATCACTCGAGTGTTGGGGTTTACTTCGCTGTGCGCCACCCCCACATTCATCCTAGCCATAATGGGGGATCAGGCAGGAGTCCAACTCAGTTTTTTCTCAACCCCTCTTTGAGCTTTCTCCCAGTTGTCTCTCAGATAGCCCCAATTCCCTGAACTCTATTGGGAATGAAGAACTTACCCATCACGCAGAAAATAAAAACTGAAAACTTGGGGAAAACTTTAAAAGACAAGAAGAGTCCTCACTACATTTTAGAGACACAGTCATTTTTGCTCTGATCTTTACACTTCAACTGTAACATGAAGGTGTACGTAGACTTGGGGCACTCCCTTCAGTGAGCGAGGGAAATAGGAGTATCTGACTTTCCTGAAGAAGTTAATAACCATAAAGAGGTCACGCACACCCAGTATTCCAGGAGAAAGTCATGGAATCATCAAAGAACCACTAAGAAGGGATGACAGAGTAAAGCTCACTCTGGTCCCCACTTTGTTCTCTGGGGCTTGTCCACCCTCTCTCACACCTCCGTGGCATGTAAGCAGTCAGCATCCCCATTACTTCTCTCAAGCGGGGGGCACGACAACAACTTGCCCACGGCTTCTGGACTGGGTTCGGAAGGGACCTGAGCTCAACGCCTGGAGAGATGGAGCCTTGGCTCTGACTCCAGGGGCGGCAGTGATTATCTGAACTCGGTTCTTTAAAATTGTGGTAGCTCTTAAGCTGATGATGTCTGGTTAGGAAGCGGCTGTTGCCCGCCCCAGCCCCACCGCCAGTTCCTTAAGCCCGCCCCATGCCCCTCCCAGCTTCCTCCTCACGTTCGTCGGTATTTTCAGGGCTCCCTTCAGCGCTCCCCTCTCAATATTTAGGTCACCGCTTCCTCGGCGCCCCTTTCCTCTCCCACCATTTTTCCTCAGCAACCCTTACGGTCTTTGCAGCCCTACCTGCCAACTCAGATCCCCGTCCCGGCTATGGGCGCAGCGCCGGCTACCACACCTGAAGTCTCCAGGAAGTAACGCCTCCCCGTCTGCCCCTTTCCTATTGGAGGAACACAATCAGCGCTGCCACCACCCATTGGTTGGTGATCTGTAATGCAGATGCACAGTTGGTTGCCATTTCTGTCGTTCGCAAGATACAGTGCCCGCCCCTTTCCCTGTTCCACCTTTTGAAAGAGGTGGGGAAAGCTGCCTAGAGAAGTGAGAACGACGTCAGCTATTGACCAATGGGAAGAGTTGATGGTATGGCGTGGGAGCAAGAGTGACAACGATTGGTCGGTCTTGCATCTCTACGCCTAAGGCGGGAGCTCCTGGAGGCGGAGGCAGCGGGTGGGGGCCTAGTGGAGTGAGGGGTAACAAGATGGCGACCGAAACGGTGGAGCTCCATAAGCTGAAGGTACAGTGAATCGGGGAAGGGCTGAGTTGGACTTTTCTAGGAACTGAATTCTACAGGGTAGCTTGCGGCTTCTCCTACGTGTTGTCTTTGCAGCCTTTTCCACTTCGTTTTTCGGCTCCCACTGTAGCTCTTTTGTGCCACCCTTCCACACTACGCCTTCCCTAATTTCCCATTTCTCCTCACGGTTTTACTGCTATATTTATTTATTTCTGCTCCCTTCATCGTTGTATCGTCCGTCATCCTTCCCCATCGGGTTGTGCAAGTGCCTTCTACCTGTTATACTCCTCGTTGCTTTTCAGGGCTGCATTACGTCAGTTCGTCCCTCCTTTTTGCCCCATGTCCGACCCAGGATCCGTTTTTCTTCCCTGCGATGATGTTTCCAGTCTGTCGTCCGAAGCTGAGATTCGCCTGTTAGCAAATGGTGGCATTTTTGTATATTTCTCTCTAAATAGGTCCCAGACACTCAGAAAATACTTCCACTCCCCTTTTCTAGGTGGGATTATGCCCCCAGGCCGAATTTTGAAACCAGGGAGAGGCCTCTCAGAAAAGATCGGTCTCGCCTTAGAAGCCTGGGATTGAGGAGACCTTGAGAATAGTAAAAGTACAGACACCTCTGATTTAAAAGTTTTCGAGTTCTCTCACGCGGCTCTCGGCCCGCCGGCCTTCCTCACACACCATCTCCTACCACCAGAGAGAACTCATACCTGCAATATTTGGGAAAAACAGTTCCAAGGTTAAGATTATCTCTTTTCCATTTCATATCTCGGATGGGCCCTGCATCTCCTGGTGTTACCATTGGCTGACACTGAATCACAGAAGCTGTTTTAAATTGTCTTGTGAGAATCTTGGTAGTTTTCTCACACCTAGATATATAAAAACGTTAAAAATATATTAAAAAGCAGAAAACTTTAAAAAGTATTTTCTTTTAGGGTAAATTAAGATAATCTTGATTGTGGTTTCACAAGTAGTTTTCTCATTACATGTTTTGGACAAACCAGGCTGATGTAGCTGAAACTGAAAAGTGATCCTTTAAAGCTTGAAGAGTTTTTTGTTTTGTTTTGTTTTGTTTTTTGTTGTTGTTGTTTAAGAAAGCTTAAGGGTAGTAAGGATAGGGAGAGGACCCTTCTTTAGTCACTTATTAGTTGACCCCAATTAGTCTTTCTGTGAAAGCTAGTGTTTTCTTACTCTTGGATTCTAAACTCTATTAGTGGATTTTTGTGTTATTCTGGAGTTATTGTTAACTTGATGGTACCGAAATGCATAGATTATATCAGTGGTCTCCTGATATTGTGATGAGTAAAAAAAAAAAAAAATTGAGCAATCATCTCCACTTTGTGTATATATACTGTACTTATAGAAATTGTATACTTCCATACTGTTATAAAACATACACAGAAAAGGAATTTTTGAATGAGATAAAAAGGAACTGTGAATAGAAGAGCTAATATTTTCTTCCTATTTGTCCTATTTTTGAAATCCCTGGAGTAAGTCACCAGCTGCCCGATGACTTACTTACATTTATAGATTGTGTTGGTTTATGGAGTTCCTCCTTCCATCAAATCTGTATTTGTCAGGTCTATATTAAATTTGTATTTGATTGGATAAGTAACTTTTACATAAAGTCCTCTGACCTGATTTTAGTGTTACAGTCTAAGAGAACATTAGGCACTCTTGACAGCCTAAAAAGAACTCGCTCTTTAATCACATTTGCTTGTCTTTGCTTTTTCTCTAGAGCACTTCTTAACCTTTTGGAGGTCACAGATATCTTTGAAACTCTGATGAAAGGTATGGACCCTCTCCCCAGAAAAAGGCATGTACACATATTTTGCATGCAGTTTGAGGGGCTTCATAAAACTACCTTGTAGCCCTGAGGAGTCCATGGACCTCTGGTTAAGAACTCATGCCTTTGGCTGGGCGTGGTGGCTCACACCTGTAATCCTAGCACTTTGGGAGGCCGAGGTGGGCGGATTGCTTGAGGCCAGGAGTTCGAGACCAGCCTGGGCAACATGGCGAAACCCTGCCTCTACCAAAAATGCGAAAATTAGCCAGGTGTGATGGCAAGTGCCTATAGTCCCAGCTACTGAGGAGGCTGAGGCACAAGACTCGCTTGAGACCGGGATGGAGGTTGCACTGAGCCGAGGTGGTGCACTGCACTCCAGCCTGGGAGACAGTGAGACTCCATCTCAAAAAGAAAAAAAGAACTCATGCCTTTGATTCTGATTTTTAGGGCAGTTAGTTCCACTGGCGATCTTGATGCAATGATCCTGACTTCTGGGTTGACTTGGGGTTTTATTGCCTTTGAAAAAAATCTTGGCTGGGCCCAGTGACCCACACCTCTAATCCCAACTCTTTGGGAGGCGGAGGCCAGGAGTTTGAGACCAGCTTAGGCAACATAGTGACACCCTGTCTCTACAAAAAATTAAAAAATTAGCTGGGCATGGTGGCGCACACCTGTAGTCCCAGCTCCTCAAGAGGCTGAGGTGGGAGGATTGCTTGAGCCTGGAAGGCCAAGGCTGCGGTGAGCTGTGTGATAATTGCTCCACTGCACTTCAGCCTGGGTGACAAAGGGAGACCTTGTCTCAAAAAAAAAAAAAAAAGAAAAAAATATCTCCATTGTCATAAAGAGATTTTGGGCTTTGGTATGGAACTTCAGGGGAAGGGAATACCTTTGAAGCAGGAAGGAAACATAGTATGTATCTGAGTTGATATGTAATGTCATATCAACAGCAAATTTCTGAGGATTTTGTAGAAATGCATTTTTTTTTTTTTTTTTTTTAATTGAGATGGAGTCTTGCTCTGTCACCCAGGCTGGAGTGCCGTGGCAAGATCTCGGCTCACTGCAACCTCCGCCTCCCAGGTTCAAGCGATTCTCATGCCTCAGCTTCCGGAGTAGCTGGGATTACAGGCACGTGCCATCGCGCCTGGCTAATTTTTGTATTTTTAGTAGAGACGGAGTTTCACCATGTTGTTGGCCCGGCTGGACTTGAACTACTGACCTCAGGTGATCCTCTTGCCTTGGCCTCCCAAAGTGCTGGGATTATAGGCATGAGCCACCGCACTTAGCCCATTCTAACACATTTGGAAAGAGAGATTGAACTGTGGATGAAAATGGCTTGAACTGTAACAGTATCAGATATCCAGTCAAACATCAGAAAAGGAACTATTGCAGAGGAGAGGAGAAAGCGGTAGTGGTGTCAGAGTGTTGAGAATAGTGAGACATTTGTATTGGAAAGTGAAGTGAGGAAATACATTGGTGGTTGAAGATAGTTTGGAAAGGAAAATAGGTAAACTATAAAGGTAAATCAAAAGTGATGTTGAAAAGGGCTTTCTAAGTTGTATAAGGAATTCTGGCCTTTGTCATGTAATAAGTAGGGCTGGGAGCCTTTGGAAGTTTGAAAGGAAGAGCTTGATGTGATCAGCTTGTATTCTGTTGGCAGATGGGATTTGTAGGGGGAGTGATTTCACCACTTAGATGTTTATTTTCAGAGTCATTCCTCTGCTTAAAACCTTCAAATTATGTCCCTGCCAGTCTCTGCGGTATAGTTACTAACACTTCAACTACTGCGGCCTTATTTTATTTCATTTCTTCAGAATGATTGTCTTCATCAGTTGCTAACACTTAGCATTTATTATGTGGCAAAGCACTGTTTGAAGCCATTTGCATGCACTGATTTAATTCTCATAATAACCCTATAAGGTAAATACTTATATTATCCTCATTTGAAAAGCAGAAAAACTGTAGCTCAGAGAGAGTAACTGAGTAACTTGCTCTGGTTGCACAGCTAATATGTGGTATATTAAATCCAAGCAGGCTGGGCGTGGTGGCTCACGCCTGTAATCCCAGTACTTTGGGAGGATGAGGCGGGTGGATCACCTGAGTTCGGGAGTTCGAGACCAGCTTGACCAACATGGAGAAACCCTGTCTTTACTAAAAATACAAAATTAGCTGGACGTGGCCGGGCGTGGTGGCTCACGCCTGTAATCCCAGCACTTTGGGAGGCCGAGGCTGGCGGATCACAAGGTCAGGAGATCGAGACCACGGTGAAACCCCGTCTCTACTAAAAATACAAAAAATTAGCCGGGCGCGGTTGTGGGCGCCTGTAGTCCCAGCTACTCGGGAGGCTGAGGCAGGAGAATGGCGTGAACCCGGGAGGCGGAGCTTGCAGTGAGCCGAGATCGCGCCACTGCACTCCAGCCTGGGCGACAGAGCGAGACTGCGTCTCAAAAAAAAAAAAAAAAAATTAGCTGGACGTGGTGGCGCATGCCTGTAATGCCAGCTACTCGGGAGGCTGAGGCAGGAGAATCGCTTGAACCTGGTAGGCGGAGGTTGCGGTGAGCCGAGATGGCGCCATTGCTCTCCAGCCTGGGCAACAAAAGTGAAACTCCGTCTCAAAAAAAAAAAAAAAAAAAATCCAGGCATCCTGTCTCCAGAATTCCTGTTCTTAATCATTGTACACTGCTTCTCCTTCTTACCTCAACCCAGAACCTTCACATATGCTGCAGTTGGAGTTTTCTTTTGGCTGTAGTACTTCTGCCAGCCTTCCTCCCTAACACCTTTATCTAATTAATTACTACACCCTTTTCAGGTGTTTCACCCAAATATTATTTACCCAAGGAAACTTTCTCTGTTCTATCCACACACATGGTCAGGCCACTTTTTATATAGTTTCATAGGACCCTGTATGTTGTTTAAAAATCAGCTGAACATGCTGGGCGCAGTGGCTCATGCCTGTAATCCCAGCACTTTGGGAGGCCGAGGTGGGCGGATCATGAGGTCAGGAGTTCAAGACCAGTCTGACCAACGTGGTGAAACCCCATCTCTACTAAAAATACCAAAATTAGCCAGGCCTGGTGGCGTGCACCTGAAACCCCAGCTACTCGGGAAACTGAGACAGGAGAATCGCTTGAACCCGGGAAGCAGAGGTTACAGGAGCTGAGATCGCGCCATTGCACTCCAAGTCTGAGCAACAGAGTGAGACTGTCTCAAAAAAAAAAAAAAA